GATGAAGGAAGGTGATGATGATGATGAAGGAAGATGGTGATGATCATGATTATTATGATAGAGATGAAGATAATGTTGATGTACCGCTATATTATATACGTAGATGATATTAGTTAAAATAACTCGATATAAGTTTTGATGATTTTATTGTTGGAATTAAAAAAAGATTAAAAAACTATTAAATAAAAATAATTTCCATCATTTTTAGTATCACACTATTTAAAAAGAATGAAATATGAGCACGAACCGAGTTGACAAAATAATAAGCCTCAAGTCGCCAATTTACTTCCAACGATCGTTTCTCATCGAATTCTCAACGCGTTCGTTTTTGCTGCTCCGACCAAGTTTTATATGGAGAGTTTTTGAAAGTGCAACGCTGTCAAACACGATGCTTTTGATAAGAGATCCATTTTTATTTTTTATTCAGATCTTTCACGTTTAAATATTTCCTGAAATTTAGTTTTTTTATTAATTTCATTATTTTAATATATATATAAATATATATATATATATATATATATATATATAGCAGCAACAATAGCAGCAGCAGTAGCAGCAGTAGCAGTAGCAGCACCAGTAGCGTCGTACAAACAAGGTCCATCACCCTGCTTGATCCGAATTAATGACTTTTTAAATTAAAATGATGCCGACGCAATCGTTTCATTGATCCGACATGTTCTTCTCACTCTACGACTCATGTTTCTTTTTTATTTTCCCTCTGGTTTTTTTACTTCTTGGCAATCTAATTAATCTTTCTGTTTGATTATTTTTTGCACATTTTGTTCATTTCCTTGCATTTTTTTGCATCTCAATTTTAACAAAACTTTATGATTTTTTCATGTCTCTGTTTCATTAATTCCTTTCAAAATTACAAATCTATCTGCTGTTCTTTTTTTGATATTTAAATTATATTATTTTTATTTGTTATTGATTTTTCTTTCCTTTTTTTTTCTTCATCTCTATCCATCTATGTGTCTGTCAGTCTGTCAGTCTGTCAGTCTGTCTGTCTGTCCTTCTGTCTGTCTATCTAACTACCTAACTATCTAAAAGTTTTTCTCTTTTCAATTTCTTTCACATCCATTAATAAAAGTAATCAAAGTGTCTGCCAAAATAAAGAGAAATTGTTAACGTTTACACACACGGAGCGATATTTTTTCATTTGAATTTAATAAAATATTGATTTATTATTACGGCCAAAACAAAAACCACCTTTGTTTATAATTCCGCATCACAATCATCGCAGGCATCATCGTCTTCATCATCTTTGTCATCATCTTTCTCTTTTTCATCATCAGCGCCGTCACTCACTCACTCATTCACTCACTCACTCACTCACTCACTCACTCACACTCACTCACTCACTCACTCACTCACTTAAAACCCTCATCAATCATCGTTAGTTTCTAGACCGTCATCATCATCTACTTCATCACCGCTAACAAAATTATTAACATATAAATTATTATTATTTTTGATGTTATTATTTCTTTTGTTGTTATTACTGTTGTTGCTATTATCATTAACGTTATGACATTCATCCAAACATATATTTACAGCAAATAATCACCAACAACATAGTTATATACAACAAGACAAGATCAATCAACTTTTTTCTAGATAACATCCTCATTGTCGTCATCATTTTTATCATTATTATCAATTATCATCATCTTTATCATCATCATTAATAATCATTATCCTATTATCTTACTATCATTTAATCATTCTAGTCACAATCAAACTTTGTTTAATTTGCCGGAAGTATTTAGGAAAGAAATGCAATCTAGCATGTTTTATTTATTAATAGTTGTGATGAACCAACTTTTTTTTTAAATTTTAATTAGAAATATCGTTTATTCTAAAACGAAAAACACATTGATAAATTTATTTAATTAATAATTAATGATAATATCTAATGCAATTAAAATTTCCAAGAAATTACAAAAAAAAATTAGCATCACCCAACCTGAATGTATTGGTCTTAATTACTCAAGATAAATGGCTATACTAACAAGTAAAAAATATTAACATTTGTGTATGTATACATATATATGCAGTAACAAACAAACAACAACAAACAAACAATTAAACAACAAACACACAATTAAACAACAAACACACAATTAAATAACGAACACACAATTATTTAACAACAACTACAGCAACAACAACAACAACAACAACAAAAAGAAAGATCTAATGCAAAATAACAACTCTGACTTACGTTCAAATCTCGACATAACGACATATGCAACGGCAATAATCTCGACTTAATAACAAAGCATACAACAACAATAATAAAAAACAACAACACTATGATAACAAACAACAACACTAATAGCAAACAACAATAATAATAACAAACAACAACACTATAATAACAAACAACAACACATGGTAACAAACAACAACACTAATGACAAACAACAACACTAATAACAAGCAACAACAATAATAACTAACAACGACAGCCAAATTAACAAATAATAACTAACTTCTCATTTATTATGTAAAAATAATCTATAAATAATAAACAAAAAAAACTAAAATTAGCACTGCCATTTATAGACCAAATTTAATGTATAATATGGTGACATTATGATGTGATGTGATACGGTGTGATGTGATGTGATTATCGTATGATGTGATTTTAAATAGTGTAAAAATAAATACACGTATATTATAAACAAACACACACACCAAACTTAAACAACATCACCTTTTTTTTAAAATACAAGAAAACATATAAGATCATATTCAAACCATTGACATATAAAAAATATATAAAACATACTAAACATTCAAAAACATACAAAACATACAAAAACATACAAAACACACAAAAAAATGAATATACAAGACATGTAATGTAACTGTGCCTTCCTGCAAATCAATACAACAACAAAAACACAAAAAGAAACATTGATTGACGACGGAGAATATTGCAGGCAACAAAAAATAATACAACGACATCGCAGTGCAGTGATAGCATGCTAAAATAAAAACACTGCTGAACAATAACCAACATTTATTACAATAAATCAACAACATCAAATCTCTATAGCTATAAAAAATAATAACCAACAACAACAACAACACATGTTAATAATTAAGTTTGGTGTCAAGCAACAACAAAAAGAATACAAATAACAACAGCAGCAACAACAATAACAACAAACTTTTATGAAACTGTAAAAACACAAGTAAAAAACACAACATGATGACAAACCTTAACAACAAAAACGACAAGATGTTGTAGATCAGTGCTCTCAAAAACGTATTACCGAGACAGATATTAAAATGATTATATTGTAGTTATTGTGATGTTGTTGCGTCTGTACTGTAAATAATTAAATTTTATTTAAATAAAATAAAATTTAAACAAATAAAATTTACAAAATACCCTTTCATTTTTCTTTTATCATAAATTATTTTAGGTAGGTCATCAATTTTTTTGCTTCTTTATTAATTTCATTGGCTTACAAAATCATAAATGATCAACTTTTGTTTTTTTGTGTAATGTTTTTGCGTAGCGTTTTAGACTGGGCGGTTTCATTTGATGTTTAGGTATTTTGCTTTGTAAATAATGACGTGAATTTTATTTTAAAAACCGCATTTTTGTCTTCAAAATAATTTATTAATTTTTTTCCATAACTGTTGTCAGCTGAAACCAAAAATGTATTTGTCTATGTAGAAATTTATTCTAGTGGCTTTGTAATTTTCAGTTTTTCCAAGCACATTTTTAGGTACGTTTATTCTTCTGCTGTTATTAACCTAGTTCACAACACATTACAAAAAGCTTAGGCGAACAACAACACAAAAAGCTGCTCCATCAACATAAATACAGCCTCACACATAAGACCAAATCATTGTAGTAAAAGGAGAACAATAACAAATCAAAGCCAATCACAATATTCAATTCAAATAAAAAATACTTCAGAAACAATTTGAATCATATTGCAACACAAAAACATAAATAACACAACAAAGGCATTCTATATACATAACCAAAACACTGAAGAACAGCACAAACATCACAGATATTACGAACAATAACATAGCATTCAACTACAACAGCAACATAACAACCAAACCAGAGCAAGTCAAAACAGTAATGATTACAAAAATAACAAAACCAGTAAACACACAACAACAATCATAACAACAACAACAATCACAACTCCAGCAAGAACAACAAACACACAAAAACAACAACAACCACACAACAACAACCACAAAAAAACAGCAGGCACAGAAGCAGCAGCATAAGAAGAAGAGCAGGAAGACAATAACAAATGATGCTGACCGCCCTGGACACGACCAGTTACAGGATGCATCCATCTTCACATTGTTGGCGTCACGTGATACAGATGACGTCGTGAATGAATTTAAATATACAAATAGTATTATCGGCTTTTGAAATAGTAGATAGTATCAATTTTACCCTCACGAAAAAATACACTATCAAATTTGTAAAAAACAAAAAATTTATTTTTTTATTAATTTTATTATTATTAATTATTATATTCTATTTTATTTTTTATATTAAAACATTTTTCTTTCTCGGTTTTTTATTTATTCATTTACTTATTTGTTTAATTTTGTACTACTGCCTTGCACGCTGTAACAGTTTCTGCGTCTGTCAGATCCTGATTTTTAAAGAATAATAAAAAAAGTTTTTATTTAAATTAATATGAAATACATTATGTACGTGCATGTATTTGCATGTTTATATTCATTTTCATTTCGTGCGCTAGAACTTGAAGATAACAAAACTATTGAAAGAGAGAAATTGGTTACATTAAATTATAATGTTATATTGAATTATAATTTTTGATTGTATTGTAATCTCGGATTTTATTGTAATGTCAGATTGTATTGTAATGTTATATTGAATTGTAATGGTTTTTTGTTCCTTATAAGTTAACGTAATAATATATATTGGAAATAAAACCATGCTTTGATAATATTTGTAGCGACTGCAACTAAAAATTTTTTTATTAATGTACATTATCACTACTGTTGCTGCTTCTGGTACACAGACACACACAAACAAACACATAGACAAACAAACAAACGCTTACACATTAATGTTTTACAGAGACGGCAAAATGTTAAAGTTGATGCCTTGTATTAATAAAATGGATTGATTTCATCTCATTTACAAACAATGCATTCCAAACAATTCAATTTGTTTCGCCTGTCTGCCCTACATGGGCAACCACTCAAAACGATGATATACAAACGCACGCCATTCACACTCGTACACACATTCACGCATATACACATGCATACGAATAAACAAACTACACACGTACACACATAGACAGATGCACACACGATACAAACACGTATTAGCATACATTTAGCCAGAAACTAGTCAAATTTGAAAATAAAATGATATTTTTCAATAATTGTGGGTATGATACTATGACAGTCTCAACCTTAACACACGAATACTCACAAACAAATGTACATATGTGTTTTCCCATATACATACAAAACAAACTCACTACACACAAAAAAATGTATACAAATGTTTAATTCTTTTATTCAGTCACCCATTTATCTACTGAGCCGATATTTATAAGGAACATACAAACATGAAGAAACGTTGAAAAGGCTCGGTAAGTTATGTGAACCGCTCAAAAATTGCCTCACAGCTACGCGTTTTGTTGTTGTTATGAAAATTTGATATTTTTTGACATTGTATTTATTTAAATTTTAGATCATTTTTTTATTTTAATTTTTAAAATCACCGATAACTTTTACACCGCTAATTAATTTATTGGACACGTTTGTTTTTAAAGCAAAGAACTTATTCGATCTGTTTAAAAAAAACATCAGATCAAACAGGCGATTAAGTTAGCCGTTGGCGATTTATTTGCATTGCATCATCATATTTTAATACACTAGCCTGTATTTAAAATTCCTACTAAACAACAAAAACCAGTGTGCAAATTTAAAAACTGTCCATTAAAATGAGAATAACTTCATGGGGGATGGCACTATTAAAACTTTCATTTCAGCTCCAAACTTTAGGAATTAAATTAAACACAATCCGTCACAGAGTGTTTGCGTTTTTATCTTTCATGCATTAGAGTGCCCGTACATAGCACACAGCCACCTTAAATTGCAATAAATTTAGATGAAAAACAAACGTGTGCACGCACACACACACACGTGCACACATAATAGCATAACATATATACTGCTTATTCCCGCTATAAGTCACATGGGATGATGACGTATGTCGTGACGTCATCGTACTTATCCGTGCGTTAATTCGAAATGCCGGAAAGAACGAAAAGTTAAATGTACTACATGCCGACTGAGTGGGTTGGACGATAAAGTGAAGTTTTTGAACGTTCGCATTGCATTCATACATCATGTTGTTGTTTTTGTTGTTTTTGTTCTTGATGTTTTTGTTTTTGTTGTTTTATGTGTAGTTTTTGTTGAAATTGTAACAGTGGTTATATTATTTTCGTTATTGCTGTTGTTCGAATGCTGCTGATTTTTGCTGTTGAAACCTGTTTTAATTCGTGATAGTTGAGGTTGTGATTGTTGCGACCTTACAATATTTCTCACTATATTTAATCTTATATTATTTTTTTTAAATTTTAAATTGTGTTTGAGTTTGGTCTTTTATTATACCAAACATAAAAACTTTCATTATACCAAACATAAAAAACTATATGAAAACATTAGAGGCAAGAGAGACAACAGAAAATTGTACCCGCTATCCATACTCCCTGAAAAGACACCGACATAAGATATACCCACATAACGTAATATGGATAACATATACAAACCTCAAGTAACATGCAACACAACATATGTTCCAAATAAACACGGAACCTACCGATTCTAAACAAAACATGCAGGATAAAATTTAAAATGTAGAAACATGACCTGAACACTCAGCATGACATTGCAACCTACAAGCTCTCGGATGAATACCAGGCCAACCACACATTGCATTGCTGATCATCGTGCCTTTTGGCAGGAATTGAATTGTAACAAAGAAAAAATACATTCATAACAATAATTTTGAAAATAAAAGTTTTTTTTTAATTTGTTTGGTAATGAAACAATAAAAAAAATGTTGTAACGATTAATTTGATTCGTATACTTTTATATTGAAACGCGGAAATAATGTTTTCATTTCATAATAATTTTTATTTCTCGTTTCATTTTTACAGTTTTAAGTGAAGAAGCTTCTTTTTGTTTTTACTTGAAAAATGTGAGTTAAGCTTTTTGGGTGGGTAATCGAATTTCAACACCGGCGAAAAATTAATTAATTAATTCACGCAAACTTAATCTGTCGTTAATAACCAATTTACATAGTAATTAATTTCTATTTTTACGGTGTAAAATCATTGAGAAAACTTGAAAAAAAAGTGCTTGTTACCTAAATGTACGATTATATTCCAACCGCAAGATAAAACCTCCTCGTTTAACGCATTAGTGGAAAAAACATTCATCAAGAAACATTTCTTTGTGGCACACGTGTGGACACACAAGCATTTATTTATAGCTTACAAGTACGTGAATTGTAAAAACATTAATTTGAATCCCGGACGCGCACAGTCGCACACACTTACACTCCCTCAAAGAATTTTTAATAATCACACACACACACACACACACACACACACACACACACACACACACACACACACACACATGCATACATATATACATGCACACAAACCGCATATTAGTAACGAGCACAGACACACCACTTTTAATCACACACACATACTACATAAAAACGCATACACGCACCCAAACACAACCCATTGTTTAATCTCTCGCTCACACACGCACACACACACACATTTGCACAGAAGCCCAGATGTTTGTAGGCAAGCCATAAAGTAGAAGTGGAAATGTAATAGTAGGTTTCTGTACAAGTAATTTGGAGGTGGATTGATTTATGTGTCTAGAACGTAAGCGTGAACTCCATAAAAAGCATCTTAATCAACATGTCAATTGATACCACATAGAAGAGATTAATTTCTTAACGGCATCCAACAAACTTGAAAAACAAAATGCCTGCTGCAAATTTATCACTTTAAAACATAACAAATTTAATGGATAAAATCATTTTGGATTTTGCGATAATTATCATTAAAATAGATTATATTTCATTCCGTAGGATGACACTGTTGATAACAAAATTTTTACATCAGCTGGCTCCTTAATTTTACAATTTTACTGATTATCGTTGAAACAAGAACATCAAAAATAATTTTTTTTAAATTTATAATTACCATGAGACTAAATTTCACATAAATAACAAATGGCGGCATTCGCTATGACGCTCTGGGCTTTCCCTGTCACTTGGCAAACCGATTTATTGTCGGTTCACTTGTTCATCGTTGACGAACACGCGAACACATCTGACGTCATACAAGACAACAACTACTAACCAACATTAGGTAGTAGTCGTCTTACAATTATGTTATAACAAGATAGAAAACTGAACATTAACATTAGAGGACGTCATGTAATGCTTAGAAAGTTGAAATTGGTTTTATTACTACTCATATTTAAAATAAATAAAACTAAGTAAATAAGAAGGTATAAAGATATTGGTCATGCATGTCAATAAAGACATTATACCCTGATTAATTAGAAAAAACTCGCGACAATACATAGCGTGGTTGTCAACCTAGTTCTCTTCAATTATTTTTTCCTGACTGACCAACCATTTTTTATATATCTTTTTTCGTAATGTTACTATTACACGACATCAAAGATTTTTGAATTTTTTTTTTTGAAAACAACAAAACGTTCGATAAGATGATTGAAAAGTTTGTTTTTTGTTATAAAATTCAAATAAGATTAATTTTTGAAAATTGGACACAGGTACTTTTTAATTATATTTATTTTTCTTGGTTCAATGTTGGCTCTAATTACATTTTTTGCGTTTCAAGAACAACTTTCATGTGAACAATTTTTTTTTAAATTAAAGAACATAATTCGTTTAATAATACAATTCCCAACAAAACAGCGATAAAACTAATAGTTAAAAACATTGAAAAAAAATATGAAAAATAATTTCCTTTGAAAACAAAAACACAAAATGAATGTCGAAAGAACTTTTTCCGAGCAAATTGTTTGCAAATGGAAAAACACCACAAACAAACCATAATAACGATGGATGACATGAAACATTCGCGAACATGGAATATATATTTTCACTCACTCACTCGCTCGCTCGCTCACTCATTCACTTGCTCACTCATTCACTCGTTCACTCTTGCACTCATTTATCCTATCATCATTCAATCTCTTTATTTTTCATTTGTTTCCTCGTGTCTTTGTTGATATTATCTTTCGTACATTTGTTTACCTATTGATTTCTTCATTTGTTTGCTCAAAAATTTCATTTGAACAACTTTCTCCTCCGTCGTGTCATTCATTCTTCCAATTAATAACCCACAAGTCTAAACGCCAGGAGCCCACGGAAACATTTGCATCATGTTGGATTAACAGAATACACGTATCTAAACAAACAGGAAGAACAGACATAAACACGAACAAAGGAAATTAATTGCATTTATTTGTGTTATTTTCAAAGTATAAATTAATATTATGAAGTTTCGCAAACATGAGCACCACAACACATACACACACACACCATACTACACACACACATACACACACAAAGACACACTAGCTCACACATACACACACACGCACATATTTGCACACATTTTTATATAGATGTAAACAGACGGCGGCATATTGTGACACGAGACACAAAACAAAAGCCCGCCACATCCTCAACGCCTGAAATCTACTTCCGTCGCAGCTTACAGACACGCGTACGCTTCCGGTAGATTACGTGTCACGTGATAGAAAAATTATAATCATCATTGTTGTTATTGTTGTTCTCATTTTTACTTTATTATTATTATTATTGTCACTATTATAGTGGCTGTTTTTGTTGTTTTATGTTATTATTTTTATATTTATTTATAATATTCTAATGATTGAGCATGCGTGGATTATATTATAAGCGATGGACTGAGTGGAGCGATGTGAGGGCATTCTCTTACGCAGTCCTTTGAAATTGTTCAATGAGATCGCTCCATTCAATTGCTACCGTATTACATGTTCTCTCCCTTTTTCGCTTCTCTAAAGGTGTCAGTCCTTCTATGTGTTTGTCTGTCCGTCTGTCTGTCTGTTTGTGTAGGTGACTATGTTTGTCTGTATATATGGCTGCGAGTCTGTCTATATGTTTGTGAATATTTCTGTGATATGGCATCTTATGTTGTGTGTGCGATGTGTGTGTGTGTATGTGTGTGTGCGTGTGTGTGTGTGTGTGTTCACGCGTCTTTTGTTAGGTTGTGATGTAATTAATGTAATTTAATTGCGTCTATTTCCCACGCGTCGTTCATCTTTTTTCTGCGCTCTTTATCAAATTGATTGTTTGCTTGTTTGAGGTTTTGTAACACTTCAATTTGAGTGAGATTATTAAACTTTAACTAGTTTTCAATACGGTTTTTTTTATTGAAGAGATTCATCATAATGTTTATCTCCCCATTTGAACATTGGACTTTGATGAGATGAAGTCGGCAAACAGACAGGCAGCAAACAATATATCATGAAGTGATGTGATGTACGGTAATGAAGTGTGCAATGTCATAAAACGTTATCACTCTATGTAGGCTATATTTGTTGTTACAGTGTTGTGTTTTGGTTATTTGTTGTTGTAGGTAGTTGTATGCTATGGTTGCTTGTTGTGTTTTGTAGTTGTGCGAAATGTGGTGGCGTTGTGGCATGAGAATTTTTGATCCAGTTACAGTAATAGTCCGTGAATGGTTCTCCAACATTAACAAACGTCGTTGATGTGATGGGATTATAAATAATTAAAACTTCCCCGACATCATTCAAATAACTGATGTTTTTCTCTAGTTATAATCATTAACATCAATCTTGTCAATTTATTGATGCCGACAGAGTTGTTGATCCCGTGTATAGAAACAATATTTTTTAGAATTTTTTTTTTATTATTGTCAACGTTCTTGGTGTCTTGGTGGTTCGCCGAATTATTGAACAAAGCCGGCGTCTATATTTTCTTCAAAATAGTTGATGTAACCAATGTTGATGACATCACTGATGTTATTTATAGCAAGCACAGATGTTATTTTTAGTAGTTCTGATATTGTAGTTGTGCAGATGTACACTAACTTTTCTGTTCCATTTTCCAACAACATTGTATCCATCCAAGCTCTTAGATGTTGCGGTAAAAAGTGATGGCACATTATGGGCATAAAACAAATTTTTTCGACATGCATATTTCATAATATTAGTTTTTGACCGTTGTATGTTTTTGCTACTTTCGAGTTGTATGTTTTGTATATGTTTGTTTTGTATGTGTTTGTTTTGTGTATGTTTGTTTTGTATATGTTTTTGGATTGGTATATCTTTATTTTTGCAATTGTTGTTTTATTGGTGCAATTATTTAGTTTATATGTTTGAGATGATAATACTTGTTTTTGTTGATGTTTCTTACATCAATTAAACCAAGTGTTAGTGATGTCGTTCATGTTGCATTTGTTGACGTATGTAGCGGTTGTTGTTCGAATTGTTGTGATTAACGGCGTTGTTGTGGCTGTATAATGTTGAAGTTGATGTTGATTTTGTTGATGTTAAATGTTGAAGTTGTTGTTGTTAATGTCTTTCAACGTTGTTCTTGAAGTTTAGGAAGTTTTGCTAGAAATGGTTTTTGTTGGATTTTTTTTGTTGATGTTGTCGATGACGTTGTTGTTGTTGTTGATGTTGTTGTTGTTGTTTTGTTCTGTTCTGTTTGTTGTTGTTGTGTTTGTGGTTGTGGTTGTTGACGTCATAAATACTTTATGTCGTTGTAGAGTTTTATAACGTTGTTGCATTTTATGATGTCGTACGTTTGAGTGCCAATTGATGGTGCTTGATAGGCTGATAGCAGTGCTGGAGTGGGTGCTTATGATGACGATGACGACGCTGATGCCATGTGGCGGGATGACGTTACGATGTGATGATGTCACGATGTGATGATGTCACGATGTGATGATGTCACGATGTGATGATGTCACGATGTGATAATGATGTAGTAGATAAATGTGATGGCGATGATGGCAATGTTAATGCAATGATGTTTCAGTGTTATATGTTAATGTGATCTGACGATATGTTAATGTGATGATGATGATGTAATGTGATGATGATGATAGTTTTTTTGAATAACATATCGTCGCGTAATTATATGACTATGTGATAGCACGTTGATGTTATTGTTTAAATCAAAACATGTAAAAACGAAATGTTTTTTGTAGTATAATCACATTACAACGTTATTATATATTAATGTTAATGTAATGCTGTATAATGAAACGACTGCAAGTTAATTTGACAATGAGATGATGGCACGAAAATATAGAGATGCGATACGCTTGTTTAGCTTTCTCATGAGTATCTGATATGAGGATGGCATGATTGTAATATGATACTATTCCATGTGACAATGTGATGATGACTTTAATGATTACACCAGTGAGTACACGATGTCTCCATGTTTTTCCCATTAAAAACGACGATCGATGATGTCATTTTTATGTCCTCAGTTGATAATAACATTGGAATGACTTGGAATATATAAGGTATATAACTATATACGCTAGAATTTAACTAAGAAAACAGTTTTTAAACAACTAATTACCAGAAATACTCCTTAAAAGATAAAAATTTGTAGTAGTTTTGAGGTAATGTAGTAACAGTAATAAGAGAATTAGAAAAAAATAGCCCTGAGTTTACTAAACATTTTCCTACATTGTGTTTTTCGCAAGTAGAATTTGCCATACTCTGTTGTGAAACATTTTTATGAGAGCAATTTTCATTTTTCCGCATGTGCACGCATAGGTCTTTGAATTTTTACGTTTTGTTTATGTTACTCTTTCTATTTCTATTTTGCTGTTTTGTGAATGGTCTGCTGTTTGTTTTTTTGTTGGTTTTTTTTATTTTTGGTTTGTTCTCGCGTAGGTTTTGATTTTTTTGCATCCCGGGAAATTAAATAATCGACCTTCTTAGCTGGCTCGATCATGCAACCAAGATCAAGGAAGTTGTATTAGCACAACTCTCCTGCTACATCATTTCCTCCCTCTTTCTCTTCTATTCTCTTATTCTCTTCTTTTGAGTTCACGTTTTTGTGCTCCTGTATTTTTTCAACAACAGTGGGTTTTTGAACTGTTCCGTAGTTTGAGACGGTAAAGTATTTGCAGTTTCTTATTTCAAGTCTAGAATTTCTAATTATTTTATTTTTAAAATAAGATCTGTGAAATAAATAATTGAAACAACTTTTAAATTGGATGAAAGTGGTCAAAATGTTTTAAAAATAAATTCACGGGAATAAAATTTTATAATTTAAAAATAATAAATTACTTACTTCATATTATAAGGAACCATGATATATAGCGATGTTAATGATAATGACAACTCTTATTATTGAATTATTGATGACATAACAACAATCCTAATCGTGACGTCACAACTACGTGTACAACATCGCTGCTCAGGCAATCAATACATTCTCACCTAAAACATTCTTCATTATTAATGATTCACCTTCTCTATTGCAGCTACTTCTTCTACTACTACTACTTTTATTGCTACTATTACTACTGCTCATGCTGTTGACGCAACTATTACTACTACTATTACTACTACTGCTGCTGCTTCAACTACTACTATTAATAATAATAATATCTATTTTATGATTTGGCTCTAACTTTGCAATTTCAAGTCATAATTTGTATTGTGTTTTAAAGCATTGTATCATATTTTATTGTTATTGCCTCAGTGCCATGACCACTGTTGCAGTCATTACGATCATTGTTGACCCATTTTTCATCGTCATCGTCGTCGTCATCATCATTAATCAACACATTTGTTTCCTTGTTTTACTTTCCGTACGAAAAAAATGGATCGCAGGCGAACATATTCACGGGCGGATGAATTGTTGGATGGATATAAGAAGGGATGAATAATAAGTTAGATAGATGCAGGTATTGAAAAATGAACGAATGAAACAATAAAAGAAAGGTCGATTGACGGATTCGTGGATAGATTGATAAATGAATCAGTTAATTTTTTGATAAAAAGCTTGTAACAGAAAAAAAAATACAACTGATATCAATTCAGAGGTGAATGAATGCATGCCAAGTTGCCTAAATACATTTAAACAAGGAATGAATGCATGCATGAAAATCACCTGAGTGCATGCATGGGCGTATGAATGCATGGGAACTCATCTTGGAGTGGCGGAGTTGGAACATATGAGTTGCATGCCATGAGACGTGAGGGCTGTTTCGATGAAGATTGATTACAGCGCGGAATCATACATATCGTCGTCACCATCAATGTTATCCTTCTCATCTTCATCATCGTCTTCATAATAATTATTATCTCTCTATTACGATTTTTGTTCTTTTTATTTAATAATATTTTTTTAGCTATTATTGATTTTATGATTTGTTGCAAATTCATCAATGCTATCAATTAAAAAAAACGTCGAGGGCCAAGCTATGTTTTGCACTGGCATCCAGATATCAGTTATGCCATTGCATTTTTATTTTTTAGCTGAACACTCTTAGTTAATAATATTTTTGTTATTTGGTCATCATGTTCATCACAATGTCAAATGAACAACGGAATATTTCGAAACAAAGTTAGAAG